ATTCTCTGCTTCAGTGTCTGATCCTTTTACTGAAATCCTGCTTGACTGCCTTACACACACATACACACACACATGCGCGCACACGCGCACACGCGCACACACAGACACACAGACACACATACATGAGTTCCCTATTGTGGACCCCTATATAAAGCTCATAATGATATGATGTGCCTTTTTGACATTAGGGAGAGCAGAGTAAACCCTCATGCCTGAAGACGTTTGTAAGAGAAACATTTATTATTACAGAGTTCATGGAGCGAAGCATTGCTTTCCCCCAGAATGCAGTGAGGGGAAATAGAATGAGTTAGAGACAATGGGATGGAAGACATGCAAAGCCTATGAGGAGAAAATAGAAGAAACTAATAAATAGTCAAACTTAATAGTTTGAGTGTGTGTGTGTGTGTGTGTGTGTTTGTTTGTGTGTGTGTGTGTGTGTGTGTGTGTGTGTGTGTTTGTGTGTGTGTGTGTGTGTGTGTGTGTGTGTGTGTGTGTGTGTGTGTGTTTGTGCGTGTGTGTGGTGTGTGTGGTGTGTGTGTGTGTTTGTATATTTGTGTGATAATGAGGGCTGTTGTGTGCTGACCTTGTTGCCCAGGTATTCTCCAGGTGCACTCCAGTAGTAGACAGCAGGAAGGTGTCTCCTGGCCTCCTGGTTATCGATCCTGAGTGCCTGGGACCTGTCGTTGTCTCTGCTGGGGGCGGGCCACACCTTCCCCTCCCCATCCTCTGCTGTGAGGGACCAGCCCACCATGGATGTCTCCTGAACAGAAACACATAGGATATGGGTTTGATTCTATCAATGCATGCAGAAAGCTTATCACTGTTTATGACATTATGTTATGTCCTTGTTATGACAGTGTTATGTAGCCCTTATGATGGAGGATGACGTGTTAGCATAGTATCACTCATAAGATTACTGGATTGTGTATATAGCCAAGTTATCGTTACTCATTGTTCTTATTCCCCGTGTTCTTATTCTTTTTTGCTATTATTTATCTTTTTTCTCTCTCTGCATTGTTGGGAAGGGCTCGTTAGTAAGCATTTCACTGTTAGTCTACACCTGTTGTTTACTAAATACAATTTGATTTGATTTGTGATTTGTCCCTTCAAATATTGAGATATTCTGCTTCTGGTTTTACCATGCAGTGTTGTCTACAGATTGCCATCAACTGTTCTTAAAACTGTGACAATTCCAAAACACTAATTTGCAATTTTTTCCTCTCCAATGAACACAGAGACGACTCCTCCTGGGTCGAGATAAATATCAAAAAACATTTTCCACAGTCAGATTTTGGTTCAGGTATTTTTCGGTGATTTATATTCTGTATGTGCGAGGCAGAGGAAAATACATCATGGTTTGACACCCCTCGTCTTCCCTCTTCCTTAAATCACCATGAACACTCTTGTCTGGCAGCCTGCGATTTATACGACAGACGTTTCCCCTTGCCAGGCTATGATCATGTTTGTTTTTTACACATTTTTTTCCTAGATCTGCCAAGTGAATATCCTAAAATGTGGAATAAAGTGCCTTTTCCTCATGTTTTTTACATTAACCTTGTGTGTGTGTGTATGTGTGAGTGTGTGTGTGTGTGTGTGTGTGTGTGTGTGTGTGTGTGTGTGTGTGTGTGTGTGTGTGTGTGTGTGTGTGTGTGTGTGTGTGTGTGTGTGTGTGTGTGTGTGTGTGTGTGGGTGGTGTGGGTGTGGGTGTGGGTGTGGGTTTGGTTGTGGATATGGCAGGCTGAGAGAACAGCTGGCCTGAAAGGCCTGTCATTAGGATGGAGAGAGGTACAGAGAGGTACAGATTCATTAGGATGGAGAGGTACAGGTTCATTAGGATGGAGAGCTACAGGTCATTAGGATGGAGAGGTACAGGTTCATTAGGATGGAGAGGTACAGGTTCATTAGGATGGAGAGGTACAGGTTCATTAGGATGGAGAGGTACAGGTTCATTAGGATGGAGAGGTACAGGTTCATTAGATGAGGATACAGGTCAGGATGAGGGTACAGGTCATTAGATGGAGAGGTACAGGTCATTAGGATGGAGAGAGTACGCAGAGAGGTACAGGTTCATTAGGATGGAGAGAGGTACAGTCATTAAGGATGGAGAGAGGTCAGGAGAGGTACAGGTTATTAGGATGAGAGTACAGGTCATAGGATGGAGAGGTACAGGTCAATAGGATGGAGAGGTATAGAGAGGTACAGGTCAATGGATGGGAGTAAGGTATATGAGAGGTACAGGTCATAGGATGGAGCAGGTATAGAGAGGTACAGGTCATAGGATGGAGAGGTATAGAGAGGTACAGGTCAATAGGATGGAGAGGTATAGAGAGGTACAGGTCAATAGGATGGAGAGGTATAGAGAGGTACAGGTCAATAGGATGGAGGGTATAGAGAGGTACAGGTCAATAGGATGGAGAGGTATAGAGAGGTACAGGTCAATAGGATGGAGAGGTATAGAGAGGTACAGGTCAATAGGATGGAGAGGTATAGAGAGGTACAGGTCAATAGGATGGAGCGGTATAGAGAGGTACAGGTCAATGGGATGGAGAGGTATAGAGAGGTACAGGTCAATAGGATGGAGAGGTATAGAGAGGTACAGGTCAATAGGATGGAGAGGTATAGAGAGGTACAGGTCAATAGGATGGAGAGGTATAGAGAGGTACAGGTCAATAGGATGGAGAGGTATAGAGAGGTACAGGTTCATTAAGGGCCCAGGCTGATTAACCTCTCCTCTGATAGTGTCCCACTTTGACCTTAATATGACTGATTCCTTTGTGTCATACAGGTTGAAAATGATATTCTCCACAAACAGATTAGACATACCCTCTCACACACTCACACACACACACACACACACACACACACACACACACACATACTCACAACGTCCTGTAACTTCCCTCACACACATGGTCGCACACACACACGGTTGCGTACACACACGGTCGTACACACACACAAACGCACGTCCTCAAACCACACCCCTCACCTCACAAGGTCAGGTTAATTGCGGAGACAGATGCGTGGCTGTCTGTCACATGCAGTATCACACAGTAGATCAGGCCCTGTAATCCAGTGACAGGCCTGCTTCCACTGCACCCCCCCCTACCCACCACCCTGTTTACCCACAATCACCCTCTGCAGATCATTAACCTCTGACCCTCGCCAACCTCATCCTGCCAACATGTCAGAGTATGTCAGCCTGTATTTATGGCTGTGTGTATGTATGTGTGTGTGTGTGTGTGTGTGTGTGTGTGTGTGTGTGTGTGTGTGTGTGTGTGTGTGTGTGTGTGTGTGTGTGTGTGTGTGTGTGTGTGTGTGTGTGTGTGTGTGTGTGTGTGTGTGTGTGTGTGTGTGTGTGTGTGTGTGTGTGTGTGTGTGTGTGCGTGCGTGTGTGTGTGGCTCTGCCTCCTGCCTCCTCCACTCCACCCTGTCATCAGCCCAGCCATCAGTGCCCTGTTTCAATAAGGCCCGCCAGTAGAGGGTTAACTTTGCAGCGCAGCGCCAGGCAGGAGGCACTAATGAGTTGTGTTAGCGGGGGAAAATGAGAGAGTGAGGCCTGGCGTAGTCTCCTACATTATGGTAGGTCCAGTGGGAGTCGGAGCAGTCGCTCGCCACGCCGGAACAGTAGCACTTCTCGCAGCCGTGGAGACGCTCACCCAGGAGATGATAGAAACCCAGCTTGCAGCGGTCGCAGTTCTCCCCTTCTACGTTTTCCTGGAAAACATACACGCACACGCACACATACACACACACGCACACGCACACACACACACACACACACACACACACACACACACACACACACACACACACACACACACACACACACACACAAACACACACACACAGAGCATCTGGATGAGGAGGATGTGCTATACAGGCACTCACACACTGTGACAGCCCACACACCCCTGGGACAGACGTTCCCTTTCTCCCAAGATCACATACTGCACAAGTAGACAAAAGTCATTAAAATAATAACTAATGTGAAAAACAATAAGCTAACTGATGCCGGTAACATTCTACAAAGTATGACCACACATTGAGAGAAACTCTTCTAACAAACATCACCTGTAACAACTGGTAGTGATTATTGTCTGGTTGAATCTTGGATTATTAATCATGCATAGATAGATAAACACTTGGAAAAATCAACATTTTATATGCCATCATCCCTGAGCTTCGGCTAACGAACCGCAATGGGCATTCCTTTGGCATTGCCAAAGCTAGGTTTCTGTGGTTTTGAGTTGCCAGATCCTTTATCTCGTCTGGGGAAAAGAAAGAGGACATGAAAGAATTACGCTTTACAGGGCCAATTCAATTCCCCTGTTGGACTGGATTTGTTTCTCACAATGTTTGTGTATTGTAAATAGTGACTTCATGTCTCATAGTCAACCATTAATGGAAATTGCGTTGCCATTCTGGAATGGTGCCACTTGCTCTTGAAATATCATTTGCTGTCATTTCCAAATGTTATATTCCACTTACATTGGCTGGCTGCCTGCACAAAGCTATCACTGCTTGGGCACTGTCTAATGGGGACTGGCACACCCCAAATGACATTATTTCTAAGGTAGGGATTTCCCAATAATTGAATTGGGAAAAACTGGTTAGCGTGTCTTTGTTTAAACCTATACAGTATATGACCGAGAAAAAAACTTAAGAAGCAATATGAGACATTTTGCAAGATGTTGTTAAGGGGGGGAAAATGAGGTACTTGAGAAATGATTAGCTATCCTAAATGTTACATTAAACCAGCATTCTCCTGAAGCAATGTTTCTAACTGGAAAAGTGATGATGTATTTGTTAGATACCAACTGTCTTTCTCTGCCTGTGCACTTAAGTTAGAGAAAGGTTTCAGTAGCATCCGACTCAGCTAGAGACACAAAGAAATGCCATGTTTGACTGCACATCCTCCCCACATCTCAATAATTAGACGAAGAGTGCAAAGTTCCCCGATACTCCTTGACATCCCTGTGGTCAGATGGTATAATTGGCTAGTGAATGAGTGAGTTTGCCCAGGGTATGACAAATGTGAGACATGAGTGTGCACAATAGCAGCGGCGGAAGTAGCCGACTAATTTGAACAACAAATGATAAGTCACATTTTCTACTGGAGCAATTAGTGAGAAGAACTTGAGGGGACTCGGAGCTGTTGGCCCTACGAGGGAGTGAAGCATCATGCTGATGTGTCCACCACTGACACTGAATGGATTGGTTCTGGTGGTGGGGGAGGAGAGGAAGAAGGGAGGATAGAGATATGGGGGGGGGGGGGGGGGGGGGGGGGTGACCTACCTTGCAGACACAGGGCAACAGGCAGGGATCCTTGTTTAGGCTTCCGTCTAGACTGCAGTTACAGCGGATACAGTTGGGGTAGCCGCTGTAGCCAAAGGTACACCTGTCACACTGCTGTCCCCCGTAACCCTGCTTACAGTGACAGGATCCAGCCGTGAGGTCTGTGGGACCAGACAGGAGGAGAGATGCAGGCTTTAGCACTAAACAGGGAGACCGGGGGTGGGGGGGGGGACATATGGCGGCTAAATCAGCGGGGAGAGGAGAACAGGACGGTTGAGTAGCATACCTCCTTCAGCCTGGGACTGGTCTGGAACACATGCTGGGGACAGAGAGCCTGCTGGGTCACAGGAGCAGGGCTGACACGGGTTGGAGTCCTCTGGACTCACCTGGAGGGAAGAGGAGAGATGGAGACTCTGACAAGCCATATTTGATATTGGGAACATAATATATCATGATAGGGCCCAGAGTATTTCCTGCTCAGGCCAGGAACAACTCATGGCCCTAGTCACGATACAAAGCTATAGATACGGAGTGAGATCACTATTGATTATTCACTCATAGGCACCTCAGTCATTGCTTGGCTCCTTGTCAACTGGGATATACAGTACCAGTACATACCCCAGTGGGTCTGTAGTAGCCATCAGCACAGGTCTGGCAGTTGACCCCGGCTGTGTTCCTGGTGCACCCCACACACACCCCTCCCCCCACGTACTCCCCCTTGGAGTTCAGGCTCTGTTTGTTGTCTGCCACCGTCTGGTTGAAGTAACACTCCTCAGATTTCCCATGACAGTTACACTCTGTAGAAGGCATCAAATAAAATCAAAGGAAAGATTCAGTAAACAAATGGAATTATTACAGTACCTCATGGAAAAAAAGAACTGTATGAAAAAATTGTTTAGCACTGTTTACCAGGTGTCTCTCAAGTTGAGTTTCATAAGTTTTATAAAAAATTGAAAAACACCAGACATTCTTCCCATCAAGTTTACATAACATCAAAATAAGATAGCAAGATAAAACCAAATTACATAACATAGGATCATACTAAACAATTTTATATAAAATTGGCAGTTGTATGTACAGTATGTAACACTGTGTTTATCACTGTGGGGTCTTACTCTCACAGACGTGGCGAGTGAGGAAGGTCCCAGCCATCCAGGGTTTCTGGTTGTAGCCGGGGCAACAGCGGTCACAGCTCTCCCCACATGTGTTGTGTTCACACTCACAGCTGAATTTCTGACAGGGGATCAAATGATGCCATGTTACAGTGTCATCGTCACTGAAGGGACGACTCAGATCTTTTCACCCAAGAAACAACTGGAGCACACTTAAAACGAGGGCCGCAGGTCAAAGAGTATCACGTTTCGCTTTGGTGTTACTATCAAATGCTAAATGAACCGTGCCCAGGGGGAGAAAATCTATCTTACTTTATCTCACAGTGTAGAGAAGGGGCCATGGATGGAGACTGCAGGTTGATTGACATACCTTGGTCTGGTTGTTCAGAGGACAGGCTTTAGCATGGCCATAGCAGATACACATCCCTCCAACTGAGATGTCTTTGATAGAGTAGTAATACTGCAAAAACACATACGAGACAGTAACAAGTGGATAGAAATGGAGATTACTGGCATGAATATTTCTATCGTCATGGCTACTTCTACAAAAATACATCACAGTCTAGTATATTCAAAGACACTTATTTATCCGAGAGTGAGAGACAATTTCATCCACAATTTCATTATTTAAGTCCCTTTTGTATGACTAAATTGAGCAGTATTTTTTAATGAAAAATTCCTCAAAATAAACCCTGCAATCTGTCCGGTAATTATGCGTCACACAGGAGCTCGCTGGGTGACTGATAGTGTAGGCCGAAGTCAACACATGATGAGGTGGATGTTGCTCAGAAAGGAACAGATTTTCTTAATTATAAACATTTTTAATTAAGACCCATCTGTCTGGTGAACGCAACGTAATCAACATGCCGCACGGCCATTTCACAGATTTTGATAGTGGTGGTGGGTAGAAAATAAATACGGTAGTGGCTCACAGATGGAATTCATGATCATGATGCTATATGAAGGCGATGGTAATGCGTAGTCTACGACACGTTGGGTCGTTCTTACCCGCCTGGTCACGATGGGGTCGACATCGCGGGGGTCGTTGAAGGCCAGGGTCATGAGGTCAGCGTTGAGGGTTCTGATTCGCTGGAACTGCAGGCGGATGTAGCGTGCGGAGGTGAAGTTCAGTAAAGTCGGGGAGGGGTCATCAGCGCTCGGCCTTCCATTGATCAGAGAGGTGTGGATCTAAGCCCCGGTTGCAAATTGAGACACAGCACCGAATGGTACGGATTCTTAGTAATAGATTAATACATTCAAAAAGACCCCAAGTAAGTTATAAAGGAAAAGGGAGATCTTCAATGACCCCTATTCAATATTGTATTTAACAAAGACTCAATTAAATATCTAAACAGAAAATCCATAACAAACAGCATCATAACAACATTCACAGCACACCACTACTGAGGTAAGACGACAACACATTAATGGACCTGGCAAAAACAATATTTGGTTGCAGCTATGAAGGGTTAACTGTGTCTGCCTGCTAATTAAGGCTGTGTGGTTAGCTTGGCTGTTTTTGAAGAAGTCAGAGAGTGACATTTCAATATAAGATCTGCGATGCGTTGACATCCGCCTACGACTCATTAGGATTTCGCTATGATCATGCTGTACACTTTCTGTCACTACCTAAAAGGAGCCGGCTGACAGGAGCTCCTGGTTGCCTGCGCAGAGCAGGGGGGCCTGGGCGGGGGACTCTGGGGGTTAGGGGAGGGAGGAGGAGGGGGGAGGAGAAGTAGGGTGCTAGAGAACTGAGTTATGTGGGTGATAATACAGTATAAACTGGATCAACGGTGGTGCTATGGACTGGACTGCTTTCATTGCTGTCAGTGAGCGCAGACTGTGCAATAGGTTCTCACAATTAAAAGGAGTTGCTCCGATACACAACTTATCGTGGTCCTCTGTAGCTCAGCTGGTAGAGCACGGCGCTTGTAACGCCAAGGTAGTTGGTTCGATCACCGGGACCACCCATACACAAAAATGTATGCACGCATGACTGTAATTCGCTTTGGATAAAAGTGTCTGCTAAATGGCATATTATTATCAAGGCAGCGTTACTGTCTTTTGTGGAGTGTGTATGGGTTGATATGTGTTTGTGTATTCTTCTTCGTGTGAAGTAGGCTTTCTTTATTCCAAATTCCAACAACAAAAACAAATACGGAAAAATGCTAGATATGGATGATGCAACAGAAAAGAGAGCGCTTTGAACCAGCACACCAGGAAATAAAATGTGCCATGTGCCTAGACTGTATGCCTAACTCGTAAACAAGATGTCCACTATTAGGGCAACTTTGCTCACCACAACTTTAATTAAGTCAATTTGATTGTGAGCAGCTGGTGAGTGATTTCAAAGCTGACTCATGTAATTGAACTAAACCACCAGGGCACTTAAATACTACTGAAGCTGGCAATCAAGTCAGCAGCAAATGGCTTCCATACATTGCCCATTAAAGCAAGTGAATGAAAGTGTGCTGGTGGTCTTATTTCATGTGGGCCATGGATGAATCTAATATATTACAGTGAAATGGAATCCAAGTTTTTACATTGTGCATTTGAATTGAAATTGAATTTCAGTTTGAAGTGTTCAACAAATAATCATATATACTATAGAAACAAGTCCCTGTAGCTGTTACGCCACAGCTGACCCCTATAACCTTTCAGTGACCCTATGTGGACCCCTGACCCCTCACCTCTCCATTCTCCAGGGGTTGGATTTTGGAGTAGAAAGAGGTGCAGATGACCTCATCATCGCGTGTGTAAGATGGCGGTCCGGTGCGGGGAAGGATGTTGAAGCGGGTGAGGCACTCTGTGTCTGTGATGGCATAGTACTGCCAGGGGGTAAAGGTCACCCCGTCCAGGGAACGCTCCAGCACCCAGTTACCTGGCCTGGGGGAGTTGGCAGCCTTCAGGATCATATAGGCTATCTGGAACACCTGGTTGGACAGAAACAAGAGTGTTATAGCAGTATATTTCAGATATAACTCAGAAGCTTAGCTTACATAATGAACTGAATCTTGAAAGCCCCCCCTTTGTGTCTTGTGAAGTGATTGACCCCGAGATTAATATAAGAAGTTCCATATTCAGGTTAAGAAAACACATTTGCTTGTTCAATAGACACTTTCACACGTTCATAGACAAGGGTAAGTCAGATCAGTGAGGTTTGAAAGGAAAACCGGAGACACTAAAATAAAGAATCCTGTCAGGGAGCAGGGTCAAGATTGTGCCTCAAGTGTTTATCGTTATGAAATCTCCACTCCTGTACAGGATTCTGTACAATATGGAGTCCTTTCTTTGAGGTTTCCAATGAAACAGCACATGGATTCCCATGCTTCAGTCTTTTCAGCTATTCAGTATTGGAGTACCTGAGGGCAGATCAGCTTTGGCTGTCTCTGTATGTAGCAGGACAGAGATAAAGTTACATCTACAGTACTATACCCCCGAAGGCCACATTTGAATTTCATCAAGCAGTAAATGCAACCAAAAACAATGAGCACAGGGGCAAGGCAACACACAGCTATTTTGTCGCTGACATTTTCAAGTTAATATGTCTCCCATCCTGGGAGAACGACTCAACATCAAAAATGACTCACGGTTTGCCTCTTTCATCTACAGTAGATAACGGTGTAGCGTTTCGACGTTTACAATAGAGAGAGCACCACTCAACCCGGCACTCATCCCCTACACTGAAACCCAATAGTATTCTACCCAGGTAGCAGGGGAAATCTCACAAAGCCACTTTGTTTCCTTTATTCAGATGAAGTAGGAAGACAGGAAGGCTGGTGGATGTTGTCCTCATGCAGCATAAGGGGTAGGTAGGGTGGATGTTTACCTTAATGTGATGATTAAAGTGTAGAGTGGCGTCTGGGGGGAAGGAGAAACGAGAGCTCTTCAGTGCTCGACATGTGTTTGCAGGGCAGAGCGTGACCTGGTAACCACGGTCAGAACACAAGTGTTGGAGTCAAGACCTGACTGTGTGGATTCCAGGCCAGGGACAGTTTAGAGCTACAAGTCCAGTGACATCAGTGACAATAGTGTCAACGCCTGCTCTGCTGTGATTCTTTGCCCCTACTGGCTAAGCTCTAAGTTCTGGGTAATTTTAAACACGGATAAAAATTGGCAGATTTGGCATATATTTGTTTGTTTGCACATATTTCTTTGTGTTTGTTCTGATCAAAGTTAAGTCAGAAGAGATTTACTGTTCCTAAAAATCTGTAGTCGCTATAAAGAATTTGAATGTAGAGCACGTCATATATGACAAGGTGATTGCACTAGTTTGTAAAGTAGTATAGTAGAAGTTAAACTTGAAAAACAACTAAATAGAAAGGCCAGGTCTTGGGTTCAGTGATAGATAACCTGTAAACATCAAACATTTAAATTGCTCTGCCGAATTAAAGCACAGAACTTAGATAACCTACCTACCTATGCTCAATCATCTATTTTCCACGTATCACAGGAAGTGATAAAGAACGTCCATCAAACACTCTCTTTAATTACTTTGAAATAAGGCCTATGACACCAGAGAATTCGAGAGGCAATATCTATAGGTCCATTTTTATTTTAATCCACAACTATGTAGGCTAGCTCTCTAAGCTCCAGCTATAGATAAAGCCAGGTCACATCACTTTCATTCTCAACTGGAGGCTGAGGTGCCAGAGGTCTATGGTGTGGGCTTGTTTTGTGTGCCCTTAGGTGTTGAGAATAATCCCTGCAGTATGTAGCTAACACCCGCTTCATATTATATTTCACACTAAGTCGAGCGCCACTCACTGAGAAACACCTCCATGCCTATGAATAGCATACCAAGTTAAAGTATCTGTCATGTATGTCATTAATCATTAGCTGTCTTATAGAATCTAATTCAAACATACTCAAATGTCCTGTATATGAATAACACGTTTTTTTCTCTGACTTAGATCAAAGTAGTAAAGTCTGTGTGGATGTCTCATGATTTTTTCCCCTTCATATTATCCAAACACAAAAACACACTAAAAGGCCTCCATTTTCCATAGTATTTATGCTCCAGTTCAGACACCCCTCAGTGTCTGTGCTAAAGTCTTTGGAACATTGAACTAATAACTGATTGGACCAGGGTCAGTCAAACTGGGCAAAATGTATTGACAATTTTCAGTCTCATCAAAAAGTGGCCAAGACGCCAAGACACACATACACGCACACGCATGCACACACACACATACACACATACATACATAAACACACACACACACACACACACAATGCCCCCTCCATCAGTGTCTGTCATTATTCAGATTTCCACTCCAGCAGGGGCTCCTGGATAACGAGGGGGAAATGAGAGCACTGATGTCACGGGCAATAACGATACGTTCACACACATCATCGACAGCGCCAACATCACAGACTCATTTATTGCAGGAGATGACAGCAAGCACAGTGACTGGCCGCCAGGGAAATGCGCCTGAATGGAGCACAAATAGGATTCCATTTTAAAGGGCACTGATAGTGAGAACACTTTGCATAAAGGGCCATGGACAAAGCTAGCTCAACCATGAGGGAGGGAGTGACATGACTTAATATGGAATTGTTCCTTGCCACTGTGATTCCAGGCTACTGTTAAGCACTTTGTGACAAATGTTGTTGTAAAAAAGACCATAAAGGCTAAATACAAATACTGTAGTTTGTTGGGTGTTCACTGTTGGCGTCAGTAGATATCAATTAAATTATTCTCAATACATTTCTACTGCATACAACTACTGATTCATTATTCATGGTGAAATCGCAATATTACAACCTTGGTATATAACCCTCAATATGCCGTTATATCTAAATAGTCTAACAGATGGTTTTGCTGAATATTATTATTTATTTTTTTCCAAGATGTGTTATCTCGGGAATTGTTTACTCTTCATGTTGTAAGGGAGAAATTAGTATTACATTTTTACTTAAAACCAAACTCCCTAATCTGCCAAACAGTTTGAGCGGGGACAATGTGTGTAGTTAAAGTAATTCCATCACCACGGTGACAGGCCGGATATAGATGAGTGATGGGCCAGTTTCCATTAGCATGGAAAAAAATGGCTGCCTAGGCACTTCTCGGTGTCAGATTTCAATCGCTAATTAAACACAGGCAGGTATGATTTATGAACGCTTGATGACCTCAGTGAGAGTCTGTCTGCATACTTACCACTCAGATACAGTATTTGGGTCACTTTCACATGTTTATTATCTACAGTACATTAAATAAATTAAATATAAGCTACACCTTTTCTAGTTCCTATTACAAATTGAGTCTTTGGTTGATGCTTACACTCTTAGAAAAAAGGGTTCCGAAAGGGTTCTTCAGCTGTCTCCATAGGATAATCCTTTTTAGTTCCAGGTAAAATCCTTTTTGGTTCCAGGTAGAACCCTTGTGGGTTCCATGTAGAACCCTCTGTGGAAAGGGTTCTACATGTAACCCATGTAGCTCAGTTGGTAGAGCATGGCGCTTGCAACGCCAGGGTTGTGGGTTCGATTCCCACGGGGGGCCAATATGAAAATAAAATGGAAATGTATGCACTAACTGTAAGTCACTCTGGACAAGAGCATCTGCTAAATGACTAAAATGTAAAAGGGTTCTACTTGGAACCAAAACGGTTCTACATGTAACCAAAAAGGGGTCTTCAAAGGGTTATCCTAGGGGGACAGCCGAAGAACCCTTTTAGGTTCTAGATAGCAAAAAAAATCCTGAGAGTGTATTCCTGGTTGAATAACTAGGCTCACTGTGCTGTACTGGAGTCAGCGAGGAGATTTTTCAACAAAATTTGATCTACTTCATCCATCTCTTAGATTCTTTTTATTCCAGGGTCCCAACTTTGTATCATTGTATATTTAATTCAGCAGCGTGAGTGACATGGTCATTAATTCCAGATTGACCCTGCTCTGGTCTCCTGTGTAATATGATAGGCTGATATTAATGAAGGAGATGTGCTTGCATCTCTATTTCCTGGAAGGGAGAGACCGACACAGACTGGGACCCTTCGCCTGGGTCTACAGAAAGCCACACTCTGACCCTAAGCATAATAACTCAAGCAGGGACAAACTCCCATGAATCACCAGCCGCGGAAGCCCTGGGAGCGGAGCCACATCTTCACACTCACCCCTGATCATATCAGAGGCCTTGGGAGGAAGCTGAGTTACTGTACCCCCTTCGAAACCAATCACAATCTAGCCTCAGGATCCCCTCTCCCTTGATTCCTCTCTCTCTTTCTCCCGCACGCACGCACGCACGCACGCACGCACGCACGCACGCACGCACACACACACACACACACACACACACACACACACACACACACACACACACACACACACACACACACACACACACACACACACACACACACACACACACACACACACACACACACACACACACACTGCCAGCTCTTGAACCCAGAAGCCACAGAGACCCAGCACACTGCTGTACTGTATTACAGTTCTTTTCAATTGTTTAAGCACAATTTTGAAAACAGGGCCCGGTTTGTCAAAACACTACACACAATTAGCACAACCCTACACCAAAGTAGCACAACACTTCAGATCATTTGCAAAATGGAACACTTTTGTCAAAACTATACATGACTTCATAAAAACAATATTTTGTTACCATACGAAACACACACATTTCATATTACTTCAATCTTTTTGAACCAGTTACACACTGCTGTTGCTAACCTAAAACACTTTTAGCAAGTCTAATTCTCAGTGATTAGAGTACTGTAAATGAAGTACACAGAGAATGTGCAACTATACAAACACTACACAAGACCAATGCTGCAGACTGAGGAAAATATAATTTATTTCTCTCCATATACCCAAATCAGTCAACATGTCAACATGGAGAATCACAACAAAACATGTCCCAGTTTTCATGCTACTACAGTAGTGTGCATAATACTGTTAGCTCAGCAAACAACAG